GGATATTCATAATCTGTAAAAACGTCTGTCTCTTATACACATCTAGATGTGTATAAGAGACAGCCTTCAGACTGACCATGGTTAGTTTCGAAGAAATTGAGGGTAATCTCTTGGATAGATTTTGAGGATTCAATGAAATACATCATCATCGCTGGGATAACAGAATTTTTGTTCTGGCCAATGCATCCGTCTGAGAAAAAAAATCCATTTTTTCGACACCTTTAGTGTCCATTTCTTGAAGGTATGTGTACAGATACGATGCAATTTCACAGGAACCCCTACGTGTTTGCCCTTCATGGGCAAAGTAACAGGTTCCATCTTTAGTTGCTAAGTCATACACCGTAAAGGTGTAACAAGATAGACGGCGTTTATAGAAATGCTCTGACCGAGCTGATTTAGGAACATAAATGACTTGCTGCAGGTCAAACACAGCGGCACCATACTTCTTATCACTAGAAGCTCTTTCCTTTGCCTGTGTTTTCAGGTTACGGACTTCATTTTTTTCGTTTATGTGGCAGTTAAACTCCTCTTGCAAACGAGCCTTCTGTTCACCATTAGAGTTAAAGAATACTTAACACGTTATATCGTCAATGCGGACTTATAAAATCCGCATACGCCTTAAAACTAAAAGAAAATGCATACGTTTAGAGTCTGTACTGAGCCCAAAAAATCCGCAATGAAAATATAACATGTTACTTCACATAACCCACAGGTGTCTTTTTTTGGATGGTGGAATTTAAGATTAAGTGATTTGAATACTTCATGTAAAATGAATATGATACTCCCATTGGATGTTCCTCCTTGTACATTTTGTACATTATACTGAAATTGAGATCTGAGGATAAGTATTGACATTTAGTACTTGATCTGCAATAATGTGATTCCATTCTAGGAAATTTCTCAATGCTTTACCACTTCTTCTCTAAGCAATCTGTCACTCTCAACTAGCTGACGCCCACCCCATTTCTTATATTCAATAACACCGCATCAAGTTTCGACATTACTGTACGAATTTGTTGGACTGATATACCAATTGTAGAAATAAGCATAAATCTGCACACTTGCCATTTCTCACCTGATTCAATATTAGGCAAGAAGTAACTGCATCTGCGATTATTTTTAGATTCAGGATGTACACAAATCACATGCCGGGTTAGCCATTCTCTCTGTTTCTGTAAGTTCCCCATATCATAGAATGCTCTTCTTATTTGGAAACGTTCTGCTTCTGTTAATTTCTTACAGTCAAGCTCTTTAAATTCACAGTAAGTGCACTTACTGTTTTCCATTGCATCTCTTTTTGCAGGAATCAGTTTGTTTGTTTTTTCTGTGGTATATGCTTCCACCAGATTCCTTTTTTTTCTTGACCAAAGCATTTCTACTTTTAATTTCTGTAATCTTCTTTGGGGAAAACTGCCTAGGCTCTCCATCAACTACATAATCAGCAGCCAGTCTATCTTCATTACGATTCTCACATGCTTCCGGCATTGTTGCGGCTATGGAAGGAGGTTCATTTGCTTCACGTGGCTCAACGTTTAAGGGTGCGGTTGAGAGAACTGGGTATGTTACTTCTTCCGTCTCAGAAAATAGTGGAGGAATAGGCCCAGTTGACAGAAGCAAAGACATCATTTCCCCCATCTACTTCATTAACATCATGAATTAAAGGTATAGTTGGTATAAATGAAAAATTGGCCTCTGGGGTAGGTGGTTGACTTGAAGGTGCTGGGAACATCACTTCATCACAGCATACATCAGAAGGAGTAGTCAGTAATACCTCTGTTTCTTCTTCATTGGCAGTAGGGAATTTTGGTGTATTGGAAGTAAGCTGTGAAAAATTGGAATTGTGGTTATTACATTTATCTGATAATGTAAAATGATCATAACAGAGGAAGCATAAGCAAGTTGGACATGCTGCCCAAACCTCTTTTCTACAAGTGAAATTATCACAGGATGCTGGACGGTGCTCGTTTGAAGGTCTTGTTTTTTTTTTTTTTTTTTTTTTTTTGGACTGTTACGGCTTCCTGTAATAGATCAAATAAAACTGTAATTTAAAATAAAATATGATATACACTATTACAATGCAGACATTTGTGTAACAATATCTATTAAATGCATAACCCAGGAGCTTTAGATGTGCTTTACATACACTAAAAATATACAGTTAAATGTTACGTATATTAGTATACATAAAAAAACAGTCAAAATTAATACACCTTTACCAGAGTACTAATTATAGCTCGGAAAAGGGAACTAGAAACACACTTATTTTTGCACAGATGAAATAATTAATATAAGAATAAAACTTTGTCTTTTGTGTAGACTTTTCAAATACCTTGGCGGAAACTTACCTCCATGTGTGTTACAGTATGTTGCAATGGGGATATCGTCAGATTCAGAGCCTGATGAACTGGATTCCGATTCAATTTCTATTATTATGCCGTTCCATTTCTCCTTTCCCCATAGCATTGACACCTTTGATCCTTTTTTCAGTTTTGACGGCGAAATCAAGTCTTTGGCTGAGACCACATTTTTTGACTTATCCTTGTCCCACTGTACAAGTACATCAATGTCTGAATTAAAACTAAAAAAGAAAATACAATTCCACATGTACAATAAGATGCAAGTACAGTAGTACATAAAACAGAATGCTCCAAACACTGAATACAGCTAAAAAACTGTAATTGCCAAAAACAAAATTTGTTGATAGGTATAACTATATCAATATTAAACATTGTACATTTTATAGCATTAAATAATTGTAATATCTCTCATAATATTGTACAGACATCTTTGTTTGTACTGTATTGAGTTTCGTATCTGCAAAGAGAGGTGCAATAACGGGAATAAATGAAATTCTATAAACATGCATTTGCATGCATGTTTATAGAATTTTATTATTATTTTAAACACTAATTTTCAAAATTTTATTTGTGTTGCATGTCTTTTTTTTTATTTGATAAATCTAAGTGAGTACAACCTTAAATGCTATTATTTTTAGACCTGTCTTCTTTTTTTCCCCCATGGCCAGTTTGCAGAATTCTGAAATGCAGGGATGCAACTAGATGTGAAAAAAAGGAGGCGATTGAATATTTTCTTAATAACCTTTGTGAGGGATAAAAAAGGCATTCGTACTTTTGTTACTATGATTCATGGTGAAACTATTGACGATTCTTATTGATACACTCTTGCATGGACCCTATCAAGTTGAGGATATTCATAATCTGTAAAAACGTTAAATATGTGATATTCCCAATGCGATCAAAATGATGGAATATTCTTACTTTCCAAGGAGCTGGAGAAATTGAATTGTATACTGTAGTTATTAAGGGACATAAGAAATTTTGATTTCATTTACCACTATTTGTATTTGCAATTGACAATATTGCTTTCTCTACAAATAAATAAAATGATTGAAGTGTTAAAATGAAATAACCGTTTTGTTTAAACATTGCAGTGAAAATATTTTGTACTATATGTACAATTGAAAATATTTGTTCTCTCTGGGCCATGTCAGCTAAACCATACAGGCTCCCATATGGGCAAACCAATATGCCATCCATATGAGCCTCACATATGGGACACCTATATACCACCCATGTGCAGTTGCAATGGGTACCATGTTTGTCCCACATGGGGCTTTGGTGAAGAATACGAGGGGCCCCATATGGGCAGACCCATATTACATCCATATGGGCCAGCAAATAATGGGCCCCATATACCACCCATGTGCAATTGCATATGGGTACCATGTGCGAATCCTGTATGCCACCCATGTACAAATGCATAAGGGTACCATGTTGGCCCCATATGGGTTCTCTGAAAGATGTGGGCCCCACATGGGGCTTGGGTGCAGAATCCAGAGGGTGCCTTGAGGGCTAGTCCATATCATACCAATAGGTTGGGAAATATAGGTTCCATATGGGCCCCAAATGGGTTATACCTGGGCTATGGGTTAAACCACATGGGCCCCACATGTGGCTTGGGTGCAGAATCCGGAGGGTGCCTTAAGGGCTAGTCCATATCATACCCATGGGTTGGGAAATATAGGTTCCATATGGGCCCCAAATGGGTTATACCTGGGCTATGGGTTAAACCACATGGGCCCCACATGGGGCTTGGGTGCACAATCCGGAGGGTGCCTTAAGGGCTAGTCCATATCATACCCATGGGTTGGGAAATATAGGTCCCATATGGGCCCCAAATGGGTTATACCTGGGCTATGGGTTAAACCACATGGGCCCCACATGGGGCTTGGGTGCAGAAGGATAGCCCATGCTCAAGGATAGCCTATATGTTACCCATATGGGTCCGGAGAATATAGGTCCCATATGGGAAACCCATATACCACCTGTGTAAAAATGCATGTGGGTTCCATATGGGTCCCAAATGGGTTATATCTGGGCTATGGGCTAAATCAGATGGACCCCACATGGATCTTTGGTGCAGAATCCGGAGGTTTCCTCAAGGATAGCCCATATGTTACCCATATGGATCGGGAAAATATAGGTCCCATATGGGAAACCCATATACCACCCATGTAAAAATGCATGTGGGTTCCATATGGGCCCCAAATGGGTTATATCTGGGCTATGCGCTAAGTCAGATGGGCCCCACATGGACATTGGGTGCAGAATCCGGAGGTTTCCTCAAGGATAGCACATATGGTACCCATATGGGTCAGAAAATATAGGTCCCATGTGGGAAACCTATATGCCACTTACATACAAATTAATGTGGGTTCCATGTGGGCCCCAAATGGGTTATATCTGGGCTATGTGGGCTAAATCATATGGGTCCCACATGGAACTTGGGTGCAGAATCCGGAGGTTTCCTCAAGGATTGCACATATGGTACCCATATAGATCTGCATATCATGTTACCTGGGTATGCTGTCTCCTATCTCAGTATAGTAGTACTATATTGGTTACTAGGCTACGTTGCTAACGCTTTATCTATGTTTATGTTCGTCTGCGGTATGCAGATGAGTCTTGGGCATAATATGTTCATGTAGATGCTGAGTTTAGAAATAGACGAGACAAAACATTGGTACTGTTGTTAGTAGAGCTAGTACGAAGATGTATAATGCATAATGTAGCCTGCCACAAGAACAGTCTTTGTGAGTAATTAATCACACTTTCTACGATTTACACTATATAATAACTTGCTAAAATCACACTTATGTTTAACGTTTATATCGGATGTTACTAGCATTATATTACTATTGTCGATTACCAGTATTTCATACCGTACAGAATCAAAGTAGGGCATAGGCTTATAGCTGTCTGTGTAGGCCCTAAGCTTATACATAATATTGTTATAGACGTTTAATTATGACGTTTTATTATTATAACTGAGCCCTATGTTAATATTTATCGTACTGATTTACGCCATTTATGTGGGGTGGCGACCCCCAGGCTGTTCGATATACAGTTAAATATCTACACGTTATTGTGTGGATGTGGCTGCGTTTACGCTAGCCTATGCTTATTGCTATGCGTTTTTCATTTATATATTTCAGTTACCGCACGCACGCATACATTTATGTCATTGTTGATTAAACGGACTCAAAAAGCCGTACTTGTGTCTGTTGAGTTGCATTGACTGATTGTTGGTTAACTAGGTGGATAGCGGTCCCGGACATCCTCCGACGTGAGGCCAGCATAGCACCCCTTGACAAATATGCATCCTCTGAAAGTGCCTAAAATTCTCAAATTGTTTGTGCGCATTTCTTGTTACGGTAAGCCAATTTCCTCGGCCTTATAAATTGCACATTTTAGGGCCGACGAAATTAGAATTAAAAACACAAAAATATTTTGCGAGCTTCGCGCGCATTTTTAGGGCTTTTTAAGGTTTATTCTTTTAAGTTATTTAAACACACAATAGTCCCAAACTCAAGAAAGACAAATTTAAGATAGATCGTTTTAACCTAAAAGAAGGGCCTCAATGTGTATTGATGGTGTTGCAAAATAAAATTATGCAATTTGCTGTTATAGGCCTAATCATTCTTGGAATTGACATAACATTCAGTGTGAAATGTGGCTCTCTTTGCAAGCACATCCAACATCTAAGGAAAGAAGAGCTTAGATTGGTACCAGATAAAATAACTTTGTTATCAACATTAATACATTATGCTAATTTTTATCTTTGAAAGCGCATAATAATTTCTGTGTCAGTCCTTTCAAATATGTAAAGCTCCATTTTATGCCATACATAGTCAAAATATTGGGAGGATGATACAATGGACCATCCCCTTGTCAAATATTGGGGGATATTCCCCATCCCCCGGGATCTACGCCTATGCGCGGCCGCACCTTCGGCGCTCCATGCACCGCTGCCGAGATGCATGACAAAAATACCAACTCAGGGCCGAAACGACCCGGGGCCGAATCGACTCAGGGCCGCAACGACTCTATACTTTGTAGTAGCACTACAGTAAGCCTAGCCTAGTAGTACGCCTATAATAGGCCCTAGGCGGGTATTCGGGCTAGGCCCTAGGCCTAGCCTTAGTAGAACATTGGTAGACCATAAAATACGCAAGAATAACTGAAAGGAGTTGTTATCTCAAACATTGCGATAAGCACCAATCGAAATACATGAAATGGGCCTAAAGTTTTATGACATAAACTGTTCGCGCCACACGCTTCACATGATCGCAACTTTGCAAAAAAAGCCAAAATCGCGTGGGTCATTTCAATTGGCTAATCATGACGTAATATCATATATTAGCAATATCATATATTTAGCAATCGGAAGTTCAGATACGGTACCGTGTCTGTAGCCACGGCGAAACTAATTTCGATAGCGTAGCAGCTACTATGCGCAAGCTCAGTAGCCTCATATAGATTTTCTGGGAATTTCCAGATTTTGCTGCTGGATTGCAATCGTGTGCGTGGCGAGTTTTGCTATGGCGTCGCAGTAATAAGTCTAACTCCTCTTTACTAACGATATTTCAAATTCTGCTGAATATGAAAATAACATTTTCGTAAGTTTGAACAGCTGTAACTTATCTGTCTAGACTATTTTCACATTGATCAATGCGCTGCTACAGAACAAAGTGCATGTCCTTATCTGAAGACTAATGACCGATCGTTTCAGCACTGCAATATCCACGAGGTAGGGCACTACGGACATCTTTATCTGTTTAATTTTATAACAACAGGGATATATCTGAATTAGTTTAAGGAGTAGTTTAGTCTCTTTGTTATTATTGTTATTATGATTATTACTTTTTTATTTTATTTTATTGTTATAAGCATTTTCTCATTTGGCCTATTATTATTTCTTTGTAAAGTGCATAGGGGCAATGTGCAATATGCGGTATATAAATATAACGTTATTACTAGCAGTTTCTAATAGAAAGTAAAATGCTGTGAGTATGCAATTCATGTAAATACTAATAGATACTTCAGTACTCTGCCGTGATTTGGAAAAAGGCATTAACTCCAAAATCATAGTTTTGAGTTATTGAGCGAAACGCGTTTGTCGTTAGCCTTTTGTACAGGAAATGAATTCTAGTAATTTTTTTTGGCAAATATACATTTTCTCAGATGGCCTATTATTATTTCTTTGTAAAGTGCATAGGGGCAATGTGCAATATGCGGTATATAAATATAACGTTATTACTAGGAGTTTCTAATAGAAAGTAAAATGCTGCGAGTATGCAATTCATGTAAATACTAATAGATAGGCCTACTTCAGTAACATAAGGGTGTACTGATTTTTAGTTGCAGTATTAAACGTTTGTAGAAATGTATGATTTGGAGGCTGATAAGAATGGATTTCAAAAATGTTGTTTACAATGCTACAAAACAACATAATAATATATACTAATAGACATGTTAGTGGTCGATCTTGTTTTATTGTAACCACAAAATTATATGTTTCACAGTATTTAAATATGTAAAAAAAAAGGTTATTCACAATACTGCCCTGCTCTGAGAAAAGGCATTAAGTACATTTTTTTCAAAATTGAAATTTTTAGCTTATGTGACTCCTGAATGTCTAATCTATCACCCTATTTTATCTAATTTCCAAAAATATGTCTGGAAATATGAAATTTTATTTTAAAATTGGCATCATCTGCAAATTTCACTATAAATACTCTGAGAAAAGGCATTATGTGCGCGAAGCCTTACATACATGCATTGAATGCTTGACTTCACGCAAGACAGATAGTAAGTAACCAATCAGATGCTAGTATAACGAGTATCTAATTAATTAGATTGGAATCCTTATCAGATAATGCCTAGTTAGTAACTACTTTATTTCAAAGAATACTCTGAGAAAGTGCATTATGTGCTATATATTTTACGGCGTTCATTTATAATTCTGTGACATAATGCGATACTTTTGCCGAAATGATGCAATTTACAGCACAATACCTTTTTAGAAGTCTTTTGGAGGAGTAAGTACAATATTGTATTTTATAATGTTTCATACCTAATAAGTAGTAAATTTAGATTATTATTATTATTATTATTATTATTATTATTATTATTTAGTACTGTTGTATTATTTTTTGTTTTATCGACATTGTATGTTTTGTATTGTGTTTATTATTATTATTATTATTATTGTTATTATCATCATTATTATTACTCTTTAAGGCAACCAAGTGGTAAACCAAAAATGGACAGACACAATTTTCGCCATCGAGATCGTGCTCCACTTTGAGTAAGGGACATTGAGTAATGCAATTTTGAAAGAAAAAGTGTAAATAACTAATTTTTTTTTTAAATGTAAAAGTCGGAGCATTGTAAATAAAACTTTGAAAATAGTTTGTACTCATTTGTATAACCTATGTTCTTTGTATCATTATTATTGTAAAAATAATAGTTTAAATGTATATTATAACTTAATAAATATAAATTTATTAATTTTATATTTAAAATTAGCACACCATTTGTATACATATTTTTCTGCAAGTTATTGTTAATTAACAAGTTATAATCAATAAACTTTGAAATTGAAATTATAATGCTTTGTCTATTTTATTATCAATCGATAACGATTTAATCATTATGATATTCTAATTATCAATTGATAATGGTGATTATAATGATAATGATTTGGATGATGATAATGTGGATGATAATGTTTAAGAGGACGAAGAGTTTTAAAAATATGACATTCTAGTTACCGAACATTAAATAAAATAAGTTTAAAATATTTTCACTCAATCTTACCTCACCCCCCTCCCCCCGACAACACCGGCTCCTTCCCCCTCCCCTAACTGCATTTTCCTCATTTACACAATTATTAAATTTACCATTTTATAATGTCAGAGTATACTAGCCTTCAAGTTTTACACTAACCTTTGGATTTCATACCTATACTTCGGTTTTTAAAAATTGAATAGAAGATTTTGCGGTTTCAAGTATTTGGATATTTTTAAATACTAGTTTTCACCTTTTCTGGAGCAAAATTTTTATAAAATATATGTTATAAATCTATAGATTAAATTTCATATACATACACTTCAATAAATTAATAATTAATGCATGTTTATAAACACTTTTGCAGATAATGCCCAATTTCAAAAGTATTTATCTACATTCATAGTTATAAATTGAAATTATAATGCTTTGTCTATTTTATTATCAGTCGATAACGATTGAATTATTATGATATTCTAATTATCAATTGATAATGGTGATTATAATGATGATGATGTGGATGATACTGATTAAGAGGACGAAGAGATTTAAAAATATGACATTCTAGTTACCGAACATTAAATAAAATAAGTTTAAAATATTTTCACTCTATCTTACCTCACCCCCCTCCCCCGACAACACTGGCTCCTTCCCCCTCCCCTAACTGCATTTTCCTCACTTACACAATTATAAAATTTATCATTTTATAATGTCAGAGTATACTAGCCTTCAATTTTTACACTAACCTTTGGATTTCATACCTATACTTCGGTTTTTAAAAATTAAATAGAAGATTTTGCGGTTTCAAGTATTTGGATATTTTTAAATACTAGTTTTCACATTTTTTAGAGCCAGATTTTTATAAAATATATGTTATAAATCTATAGATTAAATTCATATACATACACTTCAATAAATTAATAATTAATGCATGTTTATAAACACTTTTGCAGATAATGCCCAATTTTAAAAGTATTTATCTACATTCATAGTTATAAATACTCTGAAAAAAGGCATTATCTCCATTTTGGCCCCCTTAATAATAAAATTAATGAATGAAAAGTATGTGGAAAATTTTTTAATAATTTATCTAAGAAAAAAATAGGTGAAAAAATTGAAATCATTTATACTTTTCTTGGGAAAAACTCAAACGCGTTTTGCTCATTTACTCAAAACTAGGATTTTGTTACTTAATTCCTTTTCTCAGAGCAGGGCAGAATAGCCTTCACAGTATTTAAATCTGTATTAAGAGAAAAAATATTTAACTTTTTAATATTTTCTCAATATTTAAAACTGTTTCAAGTGGATAAATGAAGAACATGCCTCACAGAAATTATATGCTTTTCAATTTTTTTTAAATAAATGCTTTATCCACAATTGTTGGTATTTGAGGTATTTTCCGTGTCCTCTGTTCCCTGGGTTGGTGTAGAAGGTCATCGTAATTATGTGATAGCTTGTAGGCTCCTTATCTCCATTTATCTAAACGAAAACATGCAACACCATCAATTTCATCAAAATCAATATTTTCTGTATCTTTTCTTTGTTTCAGGCATACCGGCACAAGGTATCAATCTTTTTGGAAATATGCCTTCGTCCATACATTTTAATTTTAATTAAAAAAAATTCTGTACTGGGCCCTTACTTTATCTTTAAATTTGTTCTTATATAATTATTCGCATCGTACTATACTTTGTGCTCCCTTTCATTGTTTTTGTTTTATTTATGGACGAAAATAAATGTCTTTTGAATTGAATTGAATTGAATTGAACCCACCAAAAAACCTGCAAACAAAAGTATATGTACAAATTAACATAAGATTGAACCACGACATTTGTAACCAAATTAGCACATAGAAGCTGTTTTACTAACATATATATTCAATATAATTATCGATTACTGAGATATTTTATTAGATGTTGATTTATTAGTAAGATATTCAGTAATACACCTACCTCCAAATATTACGTTAGGCCTAGCCTCAAACAGAAGAAACTAGCATGGCCTTCAGCCTAATTAATTATAAGCCCAACCATAACTAGCCTCAAATACTCATACACAATACAGGACACAATCACACTCTTCTAGAAACATCACTAATATGATGACCATAAACAGCATTAATTAGGCAATACGGACAAATAAGTGTTTGAAAATACAGTATTTACCAAATCAATTTCACAGGACACATGTGAAACTGACAAACTAACTATATACATGTGCAACCACCAATCTGCAAAACAAAAGTAAGCCCAACCATAACTATCTATACATGTGCAACCAATAATCTGCAAACAAAAGTAAGCCCATCACCCATGTGATGACTAATGGTCATCACTAATGTGATGACCATAATTAACAGCATTAATTAGGCAATAAGGACAAGTGTTTGAGAATACAGTACTTACCAAATCAATTTCACAGGACACATGTGAATCTGCAAACAAAAGTACATGATTGTGTAAATTAATGTGAGATTGAAGCGCAATATTTGTTACCAAATTCAAACATAAAATCTGTTTTACTAACATAATATACGGTATTCAATATAACTACAGATTACTATTATTTTATTCGATATTTTATCAGATGTTTTATAGACGCTTAGTTTTATCTGTTGATGTGATAATCACCGTATCCAAGGGGCATTGGTATGATTGTCGTTTGGATTTGAGAATAGTATTACCTAATATTACGTCCGCATAAGCAGTATAAGATGAAACTGTAATGACATTTACTGTCAGTTCGTTGGTGGAGAGTTTCGAAGGTTTGGGTTAATGGGAGACCTTGTCTCTAGCTGCGCTTAACTGTTAGTTCGCCTACATGTTTTGTAAAGCTATTCATTGGTTTACCTTAAATTTGCGTGTAGTATAATATGTTAACATACAGCTTCCTTTTTTGGTTTTAGGTGAGTAGCATGTACGACCGTTGTCATGACTATTTATTTTCATTTTTTTTTGGACAATTATTTATTTTACTTATTAATTAAACGAGGGTGAAGCAACTTGGTCTGTTTTGTTGAAAAAAAAGTAACATTCTTTTGAGACATCTAAACAGCTTTTCGTACCATTGATAAAAAAATATAAAAGTAGGCCTGTAAAATTATAAGGGCATTTTAAAATTGGTACTGTATGTTAATTCTATTCTTTAGTTGATTATTTTATTGTACAGGGTGTATTCCACACATTTACATACTACTGAAGTCTGGGTTATATTACAATGTTAAGTGAATCTGCATGTTGATCTTATTTCCAATATCCTCTCAATGTGTTGTGTAATAATCAATTTTTTGTTGTCATTATTTATTTGTTTTCTCGATGCAACAACATATAAATTTAATAAAAATAAATAAAACCATTCTCGCTTATAGAAACAAACAACAGTAATTAATTATCGGTTGATTTTAAATAAATAAATTTATTATTATTAAATAAAAATATGTGAGGGGTGAATTTTACTGTTTTTTGGTTTTTTTTAAATTAACATCATTCATTATAGGGGCTTTTGTTTTATTATTACTGTTATTATTATCATTATAGTAATATAATAATTTCTCAAATTTATCGACCAATATTACTGTCACCCATAATTTTACTATTGTGATCGGTCCTTATAATTGTTGATGTTTTGGAAACTCAGACAGCGTCGTATGATTTTTATATTTATTTTTTTAAAATAGCCAATTGCTATCTGATCAATATCTAATAAAAACCAACAACAATTAGGCCTACTTATGATTTTGTATTCCTATTTAAAAACTTCAAAGCTTTAAAGCTGCAACAAAGACTGCCTTGCCGATCCGATCAAGTGCATTGACAATTAATAAAATTTCAAATAACACAATCACTATAGTCGAAGAAATTTCTTTCTTTTTGATTTCTTTTAGGCCTATTTCATTTTCAAAAAAATACTCAAAACCAGATTTTGCCGACGCAAATAATACTAATAATACTAATACTAATAATAATAATAAAATAATATTATTATTGTTATTATGATTATTACAATTATGATTAATTATTATTTATTAATATTATTATTATTATTATTATTATTATTATTATTATTTATTATTATTATTTAACATTACAGTATAATAATCATCATCACAAAAAAGCAATCCACCAAAACTTTCAACAACAGAAAGTAATAAAAACATTTGTTTTGCTCATTTAGTGAAAGTCTTGAATCGTGTTTTAAATATACAATCCAAAATTGTATTTAATATGTTGAAGTTTGTCGTTGATGTCTTGGGTAGCAGAAAATTAGTTTTAGTACTTGATGTACATATTTGGAATCACCGTTTTGACAGTGGCACATAATATAGGCCCAGACAGAATTTTATCTCTTTTTACTATCTGTAAATTAAGATAGGCCTACATAAATTGATGCATTCTCAGTTGAATGCTTGTGTTTGTATGAATGGTAGGAAGGAGGAAAAGCGAATACTACCGACATATTTCACAATACCAACTCGCATCCGTATTTATTTAAATAAGCTTCCTTCCGATTTGAATACAGTAAATTATTGATCGACGTTTCGGGTCCATCATAGAACCATTCTCAAGATCAAGTAAATTGAAAAAAACTAAATACAAAAATACCAAGCAGTGACAGGAAGTATGTAATTAATTTACATATCAATAAGGCCTACTGTGTGGAGCCATTAGTGGAGCTAAGCAATAATAAGCCCTTCTTAACAGATTAACTAGACAACCAGTTTGGCTTTGACTGAATCAGTTTGTTTGTTAAGTGTGGGTTTCATCCAAAGCATTTCTTTGATTAAGCAATCAAACTTGGATTTGCACTTAGATAAAACCTTGAAATAATTAAGAGTTTCAGTAGCACTAATATCATGATCTTTTAAATGTTGTCCTATGTTACCTTTACTGTGCTCATCAATGCGTTGATAAGGGTGTCGACAAGTGTAGCCGACATAGCTTGCATCGCACAAGCCACATTGAAATTGATAAACAACGCATTATTCATGAACAATCTTAGGTTTACTTTCTTTCGATTTCAAGATTTCACCTATCTTCCTACTAGTGAATACGGGCATAATTTCATTATTAATCTTGCAGCTAAGCTGTTTAAGTTGTTGAGTAGTAGTAATAATATTATTGTTAGATGTATTAACAATAGATTGTTTAAAATCATTAATGATACTACTGATTAATTCCGCTGGGTAATTTAATCTATCAAACATAGTTGCAATATCATTAACTTTTTCAAGAAATAATTCATTGGTTGATGATAATTTGTAAGCTCTATTAAGCATAGTGTGTACAAGATTTCTTTTGTATTTATTGTCTAAATGACTATCATAATGTAAAAGAAGACCTTTGTTAGTAGATTTCTTGTACACTTTAGTTTCCAATGATGAAGTAGCTGTTTTAGAAACAGCCATTTCTAAAAAGTTTATAGAATTATTATGGGCAATTTCCATGGTAAAGTCAATAGCACAGTGAGAGTTATTTAAGGTGTTGAGAAACTGGTGTGCAGAATCCTCGTCAGGCATGAACACAATCGTATCATCAACATATCGTCGGTAAACTGTTGGCATTTTATCAGCTGATTGTAGGGTGTCTTCGAGGTTGCTCATAAACATGTTGGCCATTAGTGGTCCAAGTGGACAACCCATGGCTACACCTTCAACTTGCTCATATGGATCACCATCGTATTGAAAAAGTTGGTTTTTTGTGGCAACCGTGAGTAGATCGATCGACAAGACCTTGTCTGTCAATTGATAGACCAAACTGGACGTTAAACCAATCATGTTCAAAGGCTTTGTCGGCAAGAATTTGAATGGTCTCATTAAGTGGAACATTAGTAAATAATGAGACGACGTCATAAGAAACTAGCAGGTCATTGGTACCAATAGTAGTTGACCGTATTTCTTTAGCAAAATCGAATGTCTGGAATTGTGAAGTCATTGCTTGCTAATGGTTTTCGTTTCTCATCTAACCATTGAGCTAGTTTAAAGTTGTACGATTCAGTAGCTGATAGTTTTTGCCTCATAGATAATGTTTCCTTGTGGGTCTTGGGTAGACCATAAAGATGAGAAGGTCTAGAACCTTGCTGAGTGAGTGTGGTGGCTACTTCTTTAGGGAGAATATCATGAACAGTGCGAGATAATTGTTTCTCTTTCACTAGTAATGGGTGTTTGATTGGCCTACCTCGTGTTTTAGGTTATGTGTTACTAACAGGTATAAACTTAGAGGTGTTGTTGATCGACGCTTCACAAAGAAGTTTATCGTATTGAAGTTTATCCATAATAACTACCCCTGAACCTTTGTCTGGTTTGGTAATAATGATGTCATCTCTTTTCTTTAATTGTCCTAATGCACGTCTTAACGATCTTGGCGGAGATGGGTCCTTACGTTCGATGTAATTTAAAGCGATGGACTTCAGTGTTGCTGCTGTAAGAGCTTTCAATTCATCATTTACTAGCTTGGGCTCAATTCTCCAATAAGCCTTTCCAAAATTGGCTTGAATGTCCCTGCAAGACGCACGATGAGGCAGTGAAAACTGTAATCCACGACTGAGAACCAATTTCTGGAAAAAAGAGAGCTGATATGATGATAGATTGATAATATGCTCATCTATGTCTCGTTCTTTATATAATAAACGAGCTATCTTCCTTGAGTGACCACGCATCTCGCCTTCCATTTGTTTTAGTCGTAATTCTATCATCAATCTAAGGATGCAAATGTAACGAAAAGAAGAGCATTGGTTTTTAACATCCTGATACAGTCTGTTGATTTCCTTCCTAAGATCTTTAATCTGCTTACATTTCTGTTTAAGTTCTTCTTCAACAATATTTCTCTGAAACCTCTTGGTAGATGTTCTCCATCTTTTAGTTTTGCTGTGATCTGCTCTAGCAAATGTTGGGGTAACGTCAGTATTTTGGCAAAGTTGTAGAAACTCAATAAATGATTCACAACTAAAAAGTTTCTGACTGCAGCGCTCGAGCCTTCTGAACAGGTGTAGTTTTTTGTCATGTTTTAAATTACGAATTAAGAGACGCTTACTATGTAATTTCAAAACAAAATTTATTGACAAGAAAGATCGACGTTTCGGGTCCATCGTGGAACCATTCTCAAGATCAAGTAAATTGAAAAAAAAAAAAAAAACTAAAAACAAAAATACCAAGCAGTGACAGGAAGTAAGTAATTAATTTACATATCAATAGGGCCTACTGTGTGGAGGCATAGTGGAGCTAAGCAATAATTAGCCCTTCTTAGCAGATTAACTAGATAAACAGTTTGGCTTTGACTGAATCAGTTTGCATGTTAAGTGTAGGTTTCAGTTGTTTGATCCAAAGCATTTCTTCGATTAAGCAATCAAACTTGGATTTGCACTTAGATAAAACCTTGAAATAATTAACAGTTTCAGTAGCACTAATATCATGATCTTTTAAATGTTGTCCTATGTTACCTTTGCTGTGCTAATCAATGCGTTTAATTATTATTACTATTATTATTATTATTATTATTATTATTATTATTATTATTATTATTATTATTATTATTATTATTATTGTTATTGTTGTTATTATTATTGTTGTTATTTGAATATTAAAGGTATTAATTTACATTGCATTTAAATTGAAGGAGGGATGGTGTGGCCTGCAAAGAGGGCAAATTCGCTCAAATTCACCCAAAAATGGTCCGAAAGATGTGACAGTTAGAGGGGTTTTTTAAATTTATTTTATATTTCTAATACTGTATAAGCCTATATAAAATTTTTCTCCCCGACGATATTTTGGGGTTGGGAGGAAAGAGTGGTGGCTAGTGTAAGGTATATGACGATATCAATATATTTTATTGTATTTGTTTCTAAATGTTTTATATACCCGCCAAGTATCGTATTCTCATTGTAGTGGTTTTGTTGTATTAATAGATCTAACCGGGAATTGAATAAAATAAATAAAAATAAAATATATATTGTATTTATATTGTGTTTTGAGGCAACAGTGTGGAATTGTTTCCTCACGATTTTTTTTTTATTATACAATACTTACTACTACTGGTGTAGCCAATATCAATTCAATAGTTTTACTAACAACATTGCGTTTGTCTTTTCTCTGTTCAAAATCAGCCCAGAGACCATTCCAAATTCTTCAATCGTATTAATACACTTCTTAATGCTATTTTCATCTTTTACAAACAAAACGGTATCGTCGGCCAACTGTGCAATCTTTAATTCTATGGTATTGTTTTCTTCTGTATTTGGTAACATAATACCATTAATAGATTTGTCATTTTTTTTATTTAATTAGCCATGACTTCGGCAACCATTATGAATAACAGAGAAGACAGGACACCCTTGTCGGATACCTATGTGCATTTTGAAACTCTTTGAGAGCCAACCATTTTTGTAATAATACATTCTGTATCATTGTATAACACTTTAACCCAGTTAATAAAAGAAGGGCCAAAGTTAAACAAGTGTAGCGTTTCGATTAAAAAAAATCCTATTCACGGTATCGAATGCTTTTCTAAAATCAAGGCTTAACAATGTTCCTATCATCTTATTTGCACCCATATACTCAATTGGATCTTCAATAAGTCTAATATTCTCGCCACCAAAACGACTTTTTATATATCATTTTTGATCATTACTAATTATTTTTTCTGTAACATTTTGCAATCTCTTTACAAATGCTGCAATTTTATAGTCTACGTTCAGTAGGGTTATGGGTCGCCAGTTACTTTTCATGGTTTTCATGGTCACCCTTCTTATGAATTAGGTTTATAACACCTCTGCGTTGAGAGCATGATAAGTTTCCAGAGACATATTAAGGGCTTTACAAACTATGGAGCCTATCTTTGGCAAGAATATCTGATAAAACTCAACAGTAAGTCCATCGATACCTGGTGCTTTGTCTTTCTTCATACGATATATAGCGATTTCACATTCGTTTAAATTAAGCTCTCCTTCACATGACTCCCTTTCAAGAATTTTTTGGATTTAGTTAAATCTAAATATTTTTCAATATTTACAAATTTTATATTTTGATTTGAATATAATTTCTCGAAGTGTTTAACTTCTTCGTTCAATGTTTCACTAGAATCTTGTGTGAGCGTTCTATATTCTTCACATGACTCCCTTTTAAGAATTTTTTGGATTTAGTTAAATCTAAATATTTTTCAATATTTACAAATTTTATATTTTGATTTGAATATAATTTCTCGAAGTGTTTAACTTCTTCGTTCAATGTTTCACTAGAATCTTGTGTGAGCGTTCCATTTGACCTTCTTAATTTTATCGGTACCTGGTGCTTTGTCTTTCTTCATAGAATATATAGCGATTTCACATTCGTTTAAATTAAGCTCTCCTTCACATGACTCGCTTTCAAGACTTGTTAATTTTTTGGGTTTAGTTAAATCTAAATATTTTTTAACATTTTCAATGTTTATATTTTGATTTGAATATAATTTCTCGAAGTGCTTAACTTCTTCGTTCAGTGTTTCACTAGAATTTTGTGTGAGTGTTCCATTTGACCTTCTTATTTTTTTTAATTGTTTTTTGTTTCCATTATGCTTTTCGAGCCCTAAAAAAGTATTTCGAGTTAGTCTCTCCTTTTTCTACCCATTTTGCTCTTGAACGAATTTGATTTCCCCTCGCTTTTAATGCATATGTACTTTCCAGTTCTGCTATATTTGTACTCAGTTGCGATTCTGCTTCATGCTTATTTAATTCACTATTCATCTAAATAACATTTAATCGTTTAATTTATTTTTGTAGTTTTTCTTTTTTACTGTTTTTATTTTTAATTTTACCAAATGTTATAGCGTACTCCTTAACTTTGAATTTAATCATTTCCCATTTATCACTTGGGTTGAGAAAGTTTAGCTTTTGTTCAAATTCTTCAATGATTTCGCTAACTTTCTTGGTAAAAGTAGTTTCAAGCAAAAAGGAAGAATTTAGTTTCCATAGACCAG